TGTCACTTTTCTCAGGTTTGGCAGTCATAAGCTCGGATAAGCCCTCATGAATATTAGTGTCTTTTCAACAAACACAGCTCTGTGTTGTTGCAAATATACTGGCAGTATGTCGCTCTCGCCAAAGCCAATCACCCCCTCCCCCGCCATCGCCCAACCCTTGTGCGTTTGCATTTATTGCCCAGCCCCTTGCAGCGTGTCATTTCCCCTCAAATCAGCAGGGAGACATCACACTGACATAAACAACTGTGACGGACACAGACAAATTGCTGTTTGTGTTCAATATATCGCGGAGTAAGAAAAAAAAAAAACCAAACAAAACGGAAAGACTGCCCCTTCTCCTTGTTTTGCCAACAGAGATGTTAAAAGAAGAGAGGATGCAGCCACTGTGCTTGGCTGCAATCCTGGAGGCAAGCATGAATTCACTCTGAGTCAATAATTTATTCACCCACGTACACACGCACATAAACGCAATATACAATACAACAAGGGGCTGAAATGGAGTGCTGCCAGGAACCAAATACACACATACGCCATATTTCAACTAGTCAATATACAATAGTCATAAATCTCCTTTTCCCCACTTTACACATGGTGGTGTGATTAAATTCATTTTTTACCCCCCCCCCCCTCCAATTTACTCGCTCGGTGCTTGTTGTCAAGTTGTTTCTTCATTGCGTTTCATTATAACAAGGTAGCCGCATGTCGAAAGCAGACCCCAGCAGAATTTTAAAACTGAAAACTGATTAAAAAAACAAGGGAAAAAAAAAACCCAGATGTTTTAGGCCACTTGTTTGTATGAAGGAAGGAAAAGACAAACTTTTGATATCAGATCTGAGAGTGGATGTTTGTAAAAACAATCACTTTATTGTTCCAGATCGAAACACTGGAAAAAAAATGCATATTTTGAAAAGCAAGGCTTGTTTGATAGCGCTTCTCCAGCGAAGGGAAATTTTACTGTGACCAACAATGACTTATTACTGTCATCACTCAAATTCCAAGACAGGATATGCAGTTGGGGCTTTCAATCATTTTTACAGCTTAGTGTGAGCGGGGATTCTTTTGACAGCGTTGTCGACTCTACGTGAAAGTTTTCATAAACATAAGGGAAACAAACAAACAAAAAAAATCCTCCGATCCATTTATGGAGCCAGCTAATGGCTTAAGGCCGACTCGGCCCGACTTGCGACGGCTCTTTTCATCTTTTGGGATCATTTAACTTGATATCCTGCCTTATATTGATGTCATCTTCTCATGTACTGTTGCCACCAACGTCAATCTTGAAATCATTTTCAATCGTTCATTTAATATGCAAAATGATTAATGTTGTACAACAGTGTGCCAGTCGCCGGTTGTGCTTGGTAGGCCTGCGACAGCCGTGGACTGTTTTTCAAAGGCGGTTTTGTCCCCTTGAACTCGACTCTCCCTTGGCGTAAATCGTAAATAAAATCTACCCATAGAATAGATTCCCTTGGCAATTACGTGGCATATATACTGCCATGATAGTCCGATCAAGGTGTTTACACGTATTTTAAACGTCTTGTTTCAGTCAGACTAACACAATAAGTCCATTTTCTTAGTCATGTCATGTAAGCGTAATGACCGAGAAGGCTTGAGGCATGGGGGGGCCGGAGACATATGTCTAAGACTATAACAACTGCGAGGCATCCCGGTCCCGCACCAGATGTGCGGTTGCGTTCTCCGCGGTGAAAGGCAAGATGCGAGTATCAAGACGCTTTGAGTCAGCGGCCTTTCTGCTGCGTCCGCTCGCCTGATGCGAGTCGATAGTAAAGGTTCTTCCCTCGGCAAAGGCTCGCAGTCATACGCTGTCTTTGCAGCGCTTGACGCGTCTCTTGGAGCTTACATAATGCAGATCTGCCCTAATTTCCCCTCTACCCGGTGAAACTGTTTAACGACATAACACCGCCGATCTGACGAGCGGACGAGGCGAAAGGTAACCTTTGGCCGTTTGTCTGAGAACACGTAACAGTCTCTTGTTTTAAAAAGGGTCAGCACATGTATGTCAAAAAGCCCAATTGCGCATCAAGTACATATAGGCCTCTTATTCATTTCTGTGTCAGCCAAGTGGATGTTTCCATGGATACCAGGCCTTGGTTTAAAGCTGTGTCGGCTGTGCGTACGTACGATTGTATAGCAAATCTCTGTATGCAAATATACGATTCAGACTTGGAGGATGTGGTCTTATTTCAGATCCAACAATCTTGCCTCTCCCCAAAAAAGCCAGAATTTCAAATCAAGCATATTTGGTATGAGAGCCCCAAGCATGTTCTGCTCGTGTTGTCTGCGAGCACCCTCGGAGCATCAGATGTCATTTCGTTTACATGGCAGCGTTGGTCATTAAAGTTTCTGGGTGAGCCGAGTGAGTAAATGGGAAGGCGGACCAAAGTCGGAATCGCCGCGTTCCTTATGTAACACATCCGCACATCGTTACAGCCCATTTACTTGATTGAAACCATGAAACCTGATTTGAAATTCTCGAGTAGCCATTTTAATTTTAGTACTGTCCTGAAAAACACCAATGGGGATTGGAGGCGACGTCGTGCATTAGATTCACTGAGCTATCGCACACAGCTCCAGGGTGAAAAGGAAGACAGAGGCAAATTTGAAATGAATGCATATGTTTTTATTCATTAACTAGCAACTAAAGCAGCAGCACAGACACTGAAGAGAAACCTCCTTTGCCAAGTTTTACCATGTGCTTGCGATTATGTTTCAGTTCCCGCACGTCTGCACAGATAAAGTTCAGACAAAGAATTTCTTTTGTCAACTCAACAAAACAAACTCAATTAATAAGACACAGAGTGCATTTTTTTTCGGAAGCAGACATTTGCATATTACGAAGGCGCATGAGGGCCACGCTGAAAGGGAAAAAAAAAAAACATTCCGGAAGAATACGAACGTGAATAAAGTTTCGATTTTTTTTTTGCAAGACAACGGCCACAATTCCATAATAAAATTTCTCTCTCTCTCTCACACACACACACACACACACACACACACACACACACACACACACACACACACACACACACACACACACACACACACACATAACATTGTTACAGGAGTGAGATGTATATTAAGTAATAATATGAGTGGGACAGAAATAAACATATTTTATACTCTTAGATTGTTTTTGTCTGTCACAAGAGGTATTATTATTACGGTATTATTATTATTATAATTATTATTATGTTAGTTTTTGTTTTTTTTGTTTTTTTTACTATTCACAGTGACCCTAATACTAGTTCCGAATATGTTATGTATATACACTTAGAGTTTTCACACCCATGGGCGTCCCACCAAAACCTGGGCCCACATCACGAATCATGAAGGGCCCCCCCTCGATTGATGTGTTCCCAATGACACACCATCCATCCATCCATTTTCCGATCCGCTTTATCCTCACAAGGGTCGCAAGGGGTGCTTGAGCCTATCCCAGCTGTCCTTTGGCAGTAGGCGGGGGACACCCTGAACCGGTTGCCAGCCAATCGCAGGGCACACAGCAGACGAACAATCTTCCGCGCTCACACTCACAACTAGGGACACTTTAGACTAGTGTTCAATCAGCCTGCCATGTATGTTTTTGGAATGTGGGAGGAAACCGGAGTACCCGGAGAAAACATGCGAACCACTGGGCCGCCCCCAATGACACACATTCTCCCAAACTAATAAGAACGGGTCAGACGGCAGGGGTCCTCACAGGCAGCCTCCCCCAAATATTGAAAAACACACATACATATCTATCTATCTATCTATCTATCTATCTATCTATCTATCTAAAACAGGTACCTAGTCTGCTCAGACTGTTTCTTTTGAGTGATAATCTCAACATGGCTAACATGAGATGCCATTCATTTCGTGACTTTCAAAACTACTTTTCAAGAATATTCCCCTTATCCAGTCCAGTAGTCGTAAAATGAACCACACGGTTCTATGGACGTGTTGAGTTCAGAAACCGATGACACATTCAACAGCGTGACTAATATGCATAAATTCTAACCATGAGAGCTGAGTTAAGGTGACAGGTTCATTGCATATTATTGCAAATCATGTGCATCTACTGTCTCATGGAGAGGGACTTTCCTCAGTTACACAGTATTGACCCAGACATAACTTAGACTGCATAATTTACTCTCATGGTTCACTGTGTGCATAATAAGACATGTTTCTATCCAGAAACTTCATTTGTATTTGTTGTGCTTTTTAATTCCATAGAGATGAAGCGTTGTCAAGCGCCAAATTCATATGTTACTCGGACCTCTTCAAAATGTATGCGGGTTTGAAAAAGATATCCAAATTGTTGCACAAAGGTGCTGCGGAATAACTACACACATTGGAATGAATATGGTGAGTATGAGTATTCATACAGAAGAGGAAAAAAAAGAAAACAAGCTTAGGTCACAAGATTAAAGTCGTAATATTATGAGAAAAGTTAATATGATTAAAATAGCATGATGAAATGCTCTTATAGTAAAGGTGTTGGATTTCAGGAAATGTTTTTGTGGTGGAAAATCAATCAGAACCTTGACTTGTTTGCCCTAAAATGACCACTCATTTCCATGATTTTCGATGACTACTTAATTATCAGCATGGCCCTCATACCGTCTCGTAGCAGGTCATGTCATGAACAGCACGTTGTATAGGATGTCCAAGGTTACTCTTTAGACTGTCTGTATGGCTGGACTGCTTGGACACAAACAAATATACTGCACAATTCAGGGAGTGACATCATCGTTGACTCTTACAAGTCAATAGTGAATTTTCGAAAGAGGAAGCAAATAGTATGGACTAATATCTACATTTCTTTGTTATAAAAATACATCTTTTACACAACTGAGGCCCCAACTCTTGTATTTCAGTACATGTTGAGAAATCGGACTTCTTGCATTGCATCATTGTAATTTTTTTTTTTTTTTTTAATTTAATCCGGAGATAGAGTAGGTAACAGGGTAAAATACACATACAGTATAGGATGCTTAAAAAAACAAACAAAAAAATTTAAAAAACCATCAATGCGATGCCCTTGTGATATGCCGGTAAATTCATTCTACAGTACGTGACTGTTGGCACACGTGAATCATGTGTATTGATGGCAAAGAGTTTTGTTTTTCATACATGTGAATACAGTTGTGATCATCATCCTTTACAACATTTCACACAAGAATTACAGCCTGAATCATTTCCAAACAAGTGCACCAGTTGTCCATAATCCCCTGCGGGAAGCTTTGAGGGAACACCACAGATTCGGAGAGATTATCCGAAAAAAAAACAAGTGGTGGGCTCCCTTGAAATTTTGGGATTCTGTCTTTGGTCTCAATCTGCAAAGCAGTGAGCTCATGAGATGATATTCTGAGCTTCTCCTCATCCACAGCATGTTCCTCACCTTGTCAAATGTGTCCGATTTCAGCAAAATGATTCATTTTCTGCACTTGACTTTACGCCTACACGCATCATAATGGATGGGCACTTTTGCAAATTAATTTCGGTTTCATCAGAAAGAATTGGTGGTAAATAGCCTTGGCAACAACCTGGTTTATTTTGGGATGAGAGCATATAATCTTCATCGCTGATTAGCGCTAATGAAATGCAGCCGATTGGAGAGTAAAAAGCACACATTATTGCAAAGGAAATAGCTCCAGGGCGTCTGTTATGATAAGATGAGTCATTAGGGGGCCGGGCTTTCATGCCTGATTGTTCATATTTACACATTTAATTTGAACTGTTAAGCATTATGTACATCCGGCATTACTCGCACTGACTCAACGCGCGGCTCGGGCAGCATTAACATGCGTCTCGGGTCATCCTGTCAAAAATGGAGTCTTAGTTCGCCCTCAAGTGATCTTACTTTCGCACTTGATATGCAAATGAGTACGTTTTGTGTTTGCAAAAAAATAGATTGATTCGAGAAGGAGTCAGAAAAAAAAAGTGAAATACAATGGAAATTTGAATAAAAATGGTTGCACGTTAGTTTTCCACATCATGTCAGTGTCAGCAGTTTTTGACTACAGTCCAAGGAACAGAACAAAGAAAACTTTTATAAGAATTGTTCACAATTTTTTTTTCCTGTCCAGTCATGATTAGATTTTATGTTAGATTATGAACGCGAAAGCACACGTACCCAAATAAAGAAATTTGCTGTTGCACTGGATGTTTGTTGTTGTGCAGCTTGTTGACAAATGTTGACAGAACTCATGCGAAAACATAAGCTTGTCAAAGGAGGAGTTTGCAGTTTTCAAAACAACTTTCACCAACATTTTGGGACATTTGTCTGCAAAATGATCCGTTAAAAAAGATCCGCCTTGTCTAGCTCCATCCCGTTACTGTAATTTGATTTGAGAAACCACCGCACCCAATAAAAAACAACCAATCAAAGACAGAAGGCATGATTTACCATGCACTGCAAGCACACACGCTGACCTAGTTTTGTGGGTTTTAGGAGTTTTGCAAAAACTATGCGGACTATCCCTTTCCGTTAAAAAAATAAATAAAAATACCCATCCCTTGTTTCCGCAAACCTGGCTAAAAGAAGAGTATAGGGACATAAGACAACTGAAACGATTCAGAAGCGACACAGAATTTGCAACATTTCTGTTGAACAGGTAATTTTGGTAATCTCTTCTTGATTTTGGTTTGAGTCTACACTCCCCAAAATGAAATTTCAGGCCTGTAGTGTTGCAATACACTGCACATGTTGTGCGTGTTAGTGAGGGTCCTTGCTTTGGTCAGAGACTGGCAAGGGATTATTGAAGTGAGGTTACATTCAAATCTTGCGAGCAGTTTTACCATTGCAAATTTCCCCTTTCACACGGAGTTACAAAAAACGATGTGTCAAATGTCACAAATGCATCAAACTTTGAATTTCGAGAAATCTTTTATTTGTCAACGTGAAGCCTGTTCAATTTTATTTGCCTACGATATATAGTCACTACAATCTTCATATTTCAAACTATCATTTTGTCCGTGCATTGAAGACAATTTAACTTGAATAAAACAAACATTGGTGAGTCCTGCTGCAAAATACTCCACCAACATGGTGCAGTGAAAATATTTGTCAAGATGTAGCAACACTGGACCATTTTACTTTTTATTCGGCATACGTTTTGTCGAGGCTTTCTGTCTTTTTTCCCCCTCCTTCATAAATCACCGTGATTATACTTGGATATGTTTACAGTTTGAAGTTTGCCTCATCTGGTGGGTGCCAATGGGACTGGCCAATGGGAGAAGCTGCCGCAGCCTGAGAAATATAAAGATGATATTTCATACCAAACCAGCAAAGTTAAGAATGGATAGATTGATTTAATAGTTCCTAGCAAGCAGAAAACTCACACATAATAAGCTCCAAAAAATCAGTTTGTTAAGGTAAACGTTATTCAAAGGACTGTCATCCCAACCCATGTTGTGATCGTAACAAAAACATTATTCACGTTGCACAGTCATGAATCACGTGGTCGATGTACCTGTGATTGGATCAGCTGACATGTAGTACATGTCATCACTCAGTGCTGCAAAGCTTGAGTAGTACACAAAAATCCATGCTGCAGCTCACAATCCTTTGTACCAAAGACGATGCCTTCGTGCTTTACCTCTTTGCGTTGAAGTATAAAGTCCCGTTTCGGTGTGTTTGGCAGCCGAGTCGCTTAAAACTGTGTAAATGTTGTTCTTTTTTCAAGAACTTCAAGATAATCCGGATCAATGTGAAGCTTTGCCTTCAGTTCCCAATACTCGCTTCTGTTTGGCTCCACATAAACAGTACTTGGAGTTGTGCAGTACAGGATTGTCTGTTGTACTCTGTCAGGATGCACGTACCTAGGCCTTGCATCAAGGTCCGATGCGTACTGACCGGCCGGACGTGCTGCGTGCCTGCAAGGTAGCGTATGGCTGTAGTGGGGCTTCTGCTCAGGATCGAGGACTTCTCTGTAGTGCGATGGATCATCTTGTTTCATGCTGGAAGGCTTATTGAGAGGCTCCGAAGCGCTGGTGCTGTATTCCGAGCCTATTACATTACTCGCCGCTTCTTCGTCCGAGTTCCCCAGAAAGGGGCCGCTTAGCTCGTCAAAGTCCTGAAACCCCTCAGCGGATTTGCTGTTGGCAGAAGCGTGGCCTGTGGTTCTGCTTGTTTGCTCCGAGGCGGGTGGAATGTACTCATACACGTGTCCAGCTGACGTTCTGACCTTTGGGACAGATCCCTTTTTATACAGTCCATACTCCATGTTAAGAGAGCTAATACACGCATTCATGGAGTTATTCTGCTCGTTTTGACTCTTCAGGTGTCTCTTTCTCATTGTTACAAACAGCCCTGCAGCCACAAACACGGACAAAATGAACATGAGCAGGAGGGCAAGAATCATCACGGATAAAGGGATGGCACTGTACTGTGTGTCGGAGTCGAGTGACGTTTCGATGGTGATGGTGCTGCCTGGGAAGGATTCCTCCGAGGGGGGAATCATTGACGCCAGTACGGCCGAGTTATTAGGGCAAAAATTAGCTGTCTTGATGTATCGCATGTCTTCCCCAGCGAGCCTCTTGGGCGAGCCACAGATGACGTTGTTGACAACGGTGCCCGTGCTGAGCTGCTCCAGCCACATCTTCAAGTCGAGAATGCTACACGAGCAATCCCAGGGGTTTTCGTACAAATCCACCTGCACCAGTGCCGTGAGCTGATCGAGCACACCGCTGACCGGCAAGTATCGCAGGTGGTTGCTGCGAAGATTGAGGCGGGCCAACGTGAGGCCGTGAAATGCTCCCGCTGGTAATGTTTTCAAGAGGTTGTTGTTGAGAAACAGGAGCTGGAGTTTAGGGACGTACTGGAATGTGTCTGCAGTGACTTCCTTAATGACATTGTATTCTAAATATAGGAACTGCAGACTCTCTAGTCCGTAGAAGATATCGGCCGTAAGATGGTCTATCAAATTCCCATTAAGGTAGAGTCTCCTGAGATGAGTCAAATCACCAAAAGCTCTGTCATGGATTTGAGCGATGCGATTGTTGCCCAGATGAAGCAAATCCAATCCAGTTGCCTCAATGAAATCCGATCTTCTCACCACGGGGATATAGTTCCCGGTGAGATACATCTTTTTGGGGTTGTAAGGTTTGGGCTCTAAATCGGAAATCTGCTCGATCTTTCGCTCCTGGCAGTTGACGTTGAGGCCGAGGTCTGAAATCTGAAGGTTGCAGGTGCAGGCCGACGGGCAGTCCAAAGGCACAGGAGATTTAGTTTGATAGGAAATAATTTGGCCATAATTCTGGGGTTTGTTTGCCGCCAGTCGAGTCGTCGGTTTTGATTTTAATTTACCCGACTGCCGAGGTCCCTTGGTGGGCCTTGACGAAGATCTTGCGATGCCAGACGAGGTTAAGGAAGCCGTCGCGAGGGCCGGCGTACTCCTGTAGTTGCCGTCCGTGCTGAAATGAGGCTGCGGTGGCATCTCGTATTCAGCGATGGCTCTTCTGGGACACAACTCTTGCTTTGAGACCTCATCAAGATCCCTCCCATGGAGACGAAAGGGGAACTCGCAAACGACGTCGCCCACCAACGCCGTGTACGAAATGCTCTCCAGCCACGTTTTGAGGGCGATCAGGTCACAGGAGCAGTTCCACGGGTTTTCCTCCAGCTGCAGCTCCACCACGCCGTTCATGTGCTCCAGCAGACCCGTGTAGGGGAGGACTTTTAGCTGATTCCCCCTCAAGTCAAGATGAGTCAGTGGGACATGCTGGAAGATGTTCACAGGCAATGTCGATATCAAGTTGTCATTCAGAATCAACACCTCCAGGTGTCGAAGTCCGCCCAGAGCATTGGGGGCCACTTGAGTGATGTAATTATAATCAAGCTGCAGATACTCCAGACTTTCAAGGCCCCAGAACAGCTCCTCCTTCAAGGCATCAATTTTGTTATTGTTGAGATGTAATCGTTTCAATCCTTGAAGTCCATTAAAAGCTCCAGCTTCCACCTCGGCGATCTCATTATTTCCCAGGTGCAATATGGTGAGTCCTCGATATTCAAGAAAGTCGTCGGCGGCAAGCTTTCTTAAAACATTCCCAGTGAGCAGCAGATGATACTGGGGGAAGTTGAGCTGGTTTATTTCGGAGATGCTCCCAATCCCCCTGTTCTCACAGCTCACAGTGAGTGTCCCCTCTCTCTCCTCGCAGGCACACAGTCGCTCACATATGCCTTCATCAGACATCCCTGCTGTAGATACAGCGGTGGCGCTCAGCAAAACACAAGCGATCCAAAGATGCATTTTCCTGCGCACGACGTCCAAGCTCAGACTCCCACTAAAGTATCCTCAATGTCATCTGGAGGGAAAAGAGAAACACAAACGATAATGGAGCATGATGAGGCGAGACAGGCGGGCAACTTCCTCACAACCAGCTGTAGCCGGCACGAGTCAAAGCCTCATTTGTTGCTACCCAGAGGTAACTTCTGGCCGTGTGACTGCTGATTTAAAATGGCTCAAACAAAGCAGCAGCAGCAGCGAGCGAGTGAGAGAGAGAGAGAAAGCGTGAGAGCAAGAGAAAGAGAGAGCGGGAGGACTCCCTCAAGCAATGTAAATAACAAAAATCAAGGTCAAAGCCACACTTGAGCACAAAACAACACAATCGCATCAAATTATACTTGGACCACGTTGCCACTTGAAAGTTGTACACCTGGTCGACTTAAAGCCCGATTTAGTGCATCTTTAACTCCAAACTCCAAGGCAGAAATAACCTACCTCACACCCATGGGTTGAAACGCAGGCTCACCGGGTAATGTCAGCGTGCCTTTTATGTTTCATCCGTCAGGAAAACCCGTCAGGGATCTTTTCAACTCACTCCCCCAATGCCCCGAAGAGGATTGAAGGAAAAAGGAAAACCACTGATCGACCATAAATGCTTCTCCTCTGCCTCGCAGTGCAGGCGGAGATGCTGCTGCGCCTGATAACTAAGTTCCTTATTCCCTCTCCATCTCTCTCTCTCTTTCCCTCTCTCCCTCTCGCTCTCCCTCTCTCCCTTACCCGGTGGTCGGGAAGATGTCAAGTCATTTCATTTCACGCAGAAAGAATCAGCTCACTTGAGCATCGTGCCGAGATGTGGAAGAAAAAAAAAAAAAAAAAAAAGATAGATGCTGACCGACCTTCTGAAAGATCCCTCAAAATATCAATAATTCAGCCAAGCGGAGAGCTTGAGACACACTCAAACGGTGTGTTTTAAACCCGCTTATGGCGTTATTCATCCTGAAAGCAAAACCTCCGCCAGGATAGTCACGTTACATCATTGTTTTGTATAATCTGTCAATCCTTTTTTTTTTTTTTTGTAGCTTAGGTTGAAAACATTCACGGCAGCTCCACTTGATGAAGACAGCTGATATTATTGGACTGCTCAGCTTCTGTGCGGGTGAAAAAAAAAAAGATACCTGACACTATCTCATCACTTGGGTCAGTCCCGGGTTGAAGTTCATTGGGTTTTCATGTTGCATCTACATCACTTTCAAGGAGAAAAACTGTCATTGCCATCTAAAAGCAACACGAAAGTGCTCAGGGAGTGTACAAAAAAGCCTTAATAATCACGTCACTCCCTGCATAATGTATGAGCACACTGGGACTCACCAGTGGGTCGATTGATCAGTTGCCCGAGCATCAATTTCTGAAATTAGAACTAATGGCTCACAGTGGCGCAGCGTTTTATTTATTTATTTATTTGTGTGTCTAGTTGCTTTAAAACACTATTAAATGAGCCACACAGAGAATGACTCATTGCCCTGAATGTTTCACCTGGTCCTACAGTTTTGGCACGAGTGTTGTAATTTGTATGAATTATTCATTTGTCCCATTTTTGTTTGTCAAATGGTATAAACGTCCACACGAATACTCGTACTATGTGTGTGTGTGTGTGTGTGTGTGTGTATATATATATATTTTTTTTTTTTAACTTCACACCATGTACCACCTAAAAATACCTTTAAATACCACCATCATGAATGACATTAAAATACAGTAGCACACTAGGTGTAAGTGTTCATCAGTAGAAGAAAAAAAAACAGGCTTTATTCTTAAAAAGTATGTTGAATAATATAAACCTTGTGAACATTGATCGCTTAAATATAGGAAAATTGAAAAAAAGTATTTAAGTCATGATTAGATTAAAATGTTTTGCATGTAAAAGTTAAATCAGGTTTAGCCACATACATTTTTAAAAGCAAATAAATTCTTCTAAAAGTTTAAATGCACTTGTATTGAATTTAAAAGTTGGCTTTGCCCTCATTACATTTTGTTTTGATTTATGCACTTGGGAATGGGGGGCGGGGGCAATGTAAATGTATTCTACATCTGATACTTCTCGCGCACCACAGATTGGCGATCTCTGGGTTGTACAGCACTCCCCGTTTTGTGGCATGTGTTTGCCACAAAACAGGGAGTGCTGCAAAATGTGTCGATGGGGACAGAGACAGAGACGTCCTTGCTCTGAACATAGTAAAACACATGTTTAAAAATACCTGGCTACGCGTAGAGGAGTCATGGGTGCCAAGTTGCCTTAGCTTGGGGAAGTTAAAGAGAGACACCTGTCATGCCCTTGTCAAGCTGAGGCCGTGCCGCTCATGTGAAAGCCTGTCAAGTGTTATACATCGCTGGAAACCATCATCCTCCGCATCCCTCCATCTTTCCCACGGAGAGGAGGATGGAGGGATGCAGCCCCCAGACAACATTCAGCATGCATGCCATTGGTCTGTTTACTTTGCCTCCAGCACATCATCCGGCCTAACGGGCCGGACCCAAACGCTATCATTCCGCTGGGATGTAAAAAAATATGAATCTTGGGTTCCAATTCCATTTCATGTTGGTGTGTTGCTGGCCTACGCTCAGCAGTGTTGTTATATGAAGAAATAGGTTAAAGGGGACCTATTAAGGAAATTGAACGTTTTGATTGCTTGTATATACAGTAAATAGATGGATCTCTGGAGTCCTCCTCACATGTCAAGTGTGAAAATTAACAACCAGGTAAATCTTTGATCTTTGTCTGTGAGTCAGCCTTTCTGCACTTTCACCCCAATGTTACGAAACACTTGGAGGTTGAAGTTGTCCTATTTTTAATGATGATGATGATGATGATTATTATTATTATTATTATCATCATCATTATTATTATTATTATTGTTGTTGTTGTTGTTATTAACATGTAGTAACATGTCATTGCAAGGCTGCAGGAGTGTTCTCACTATGTGTGTGCCCAGGAGTGCACAACGAGTGATTGACACCTTGTCTGCCAAACCTTCTGCCTCCGAGTGTTTTTTTTTTTTCTTTTCCGAAGGCGAAGTGATTTCTTGCAAATAAAATTAGAGGCTTTTCAGGTAGTTCATCCTGATTTTTTTTTTTTTTTTTGCAACCACCCTGTTTAAATGGGAAGTCACCCCCCAAAAAATAATTTCAATATGTTCTATACAGCCCCACTATTCTAAATACAGCATTCTAATGAATATTGTGTTTGTAATACAAGTTAAGCAGTGAACTCCACCCCTTTGTGTCCATCTCAGGGGGCGGTCATTTTGCCAGTTGCTGTGAACTAAAAATTACATCACAGTTGCTCTTTGTTCAGGTAATGACCAGTCATGGCTCAGCTTCAGAAAACAGGTGAACCGTGATTGGTCGTTACCTGAGCAACTGTGACGTCATTTTCAGTCGACAGAAAGGGGCAAGATGGGTGCTCCCTGTGATGGCTAAAGACGGGTGGATTTTACTGCTTAAATCATATTCCACGAATCCAATATGAATCAGAATACCTTGGTAACACTAGTGGAGGCGCATAGCACACATTACTGTCAACAACATTTTGGGGTTGATTTCCCCTTTAAGAACATTAATCCTTAAAATAGTGTGTAAAGGTTAGTATGTTTTCTTGTGGCAGAAGCTGATTCTCAATCCAACATCTCAGAGCAGAAGCACTATACAAAGATTCACAGACCGTATAATCGTCAAAATGAGTCCTTGCTCTGCATTGACGCTTAAAAATGAAAGAAGAAAAACAGTGCCATCTGGTTTGGGTCCTACACTCCCCCAACACTTCCCCCTTGGCCTTTAGTCCATAGTTCCTGTTCGCTCACTAGATAGACAGGAAAGACATGACGACACCCTTGTTTACTGTCTCTCAGGGGCTTCCTTGCCATTCAGCATTATCCTCAACAATTTAGTGTAGAAGCTCTCTATGCGCACGCACACACATTCAACATATGTAAAGCGAAAGCATAACAAATGCGTGGAAGACAATCTGGTGACTAACTGATGCTGGGAGGTCAGAAATACGTGTACGGCGAGCTGGAATCGCGCCGCCGCGCATCATGGCCCTCTATTCTGATAGACGCTCCTTACAGATGGCGCGCGGCACACTTTGTCATTTGCGTCCAGCTGGAACAAGTAAGAGTGTTTGGCATGATAAATCTGCTCTGCTGCTGTCTGGCAACATCTTTCGTGGCCTGCTCTAACAAGCCGTCCTCGTGTCCCAACAATATGTGCTCGACCTGGGCTTTGACTACAGCATTATCCAAACTGAAAAATGCTGGTGTTGCTCTTTTTTTGTGGTCTTTTTTTTTTTTTAATACGTAATGGGACTACATCAAATTCAGTGTCCTTTGTCCGCAAAGGATTTTTTTCCACGAGTATGGCTCCATATTTAAACAACACTATTGATTTCCGATTGTATTTGATCCAAGGTGGCTAAGGTTTAATGCATCCCTTTTGTTCTGCATGCCTTTAGGAGTGTAATTCTACGGTTGGATTTACACTGTTAGGTTCAAGTGTCTAATTCCAATTTAATGCCTTTTTGCATTTCAAGTGACACAAATCCACTATTGCATTATTTTAGTCGATGAAACACATCAAACACCCCGCACGAGAAGTTGCATGTAAATAACTCTGCGTGCATCAATGCCAAACAGTGTCGATACTGAAGTAAATAACACACCTATTGTTCAGTAAATTCAAGGATTAGTTTTTAAATAGTATGCTTGTTTGAAGATAATTGCCAAAATGTGCAAAGACTGATTCTAGTACTTGGTTGTGGAGCTGTACTGTGAAACCAGTTTTCAGTGTTACTGATTTTTTTGGGGCATGGCTGAAATGCTTCGGCCTGGGCCTGATTTACTCCTCCGCTATGTAAGAACTTCATTCCCTTCATTCCCGTCAGCAGTTATGCGGCGTATTTCGCTCGTTAGCTATGCCAACGCCCTGAAATGGACACTTCGCTGGTGTGGTCATTTCAGAGCGCCTTGTTGTTATCCCTGAGTATGTGTAATATGCAGAGTAAGACGAAGGAGCAATGAGCGGGGAAAAATGAATAAAAATCAAAGCCCAACTTGACATCCATTGTGTGGACCAGGTCTCTACAGACTGTGTGGCTGCTTTAGAGAGCCTCGTTGTTGGCTGTGAGTGTGATTCCATTCAGAGAAAGAAGAGCGAGGAGGGAGTAAATGTTTTACTTGACAGCTAACATGTGTGCACGAGGCTTAGTGCTGGTGTTGCCACTTTAGAGCGCCTTGTTGTCACAGCATGGAAAACCCCGGTGAAATATTCCACCCACTGGAGGCTTTCAGCTGATATATTTACACCACTCGATACAATATGTAGTTACGTGTAGGCAAAAGAGAGATGCTATGTAGCATCCATATTCCTAGGTATGTGATTGACAGTTGAGCAGTGTGTGGTTTCAGTGCATTCAGCAGTCACACTCATAGTCTTTGAGAGTGGAGAGAAAAGCTTGATTTTGAAGCTTCATATTTCTTTGTTTATAGTTGCTATTTTTTTTAATTGTTAATTTATTTTCAATGTTTTTATCAAGGTTTCATATTCTAGCTAAAAAAACATGCTATCAAAAACTTGTAAAATTAGAGGCACATCAAGAATAGTGTTGATTACATAGATTTCTGACGTGAGCAAAATTGAAAGGAATGTGAACACAGG